TTTTACTGTTGGTCCATCTGTTTCGTATATAAGGTGAAGATTGACTTATCGATTGTATCGGTTCATTTATTACCATCTCGATTATTATTATTATTATTTGTAAGATATTATCATGTAGATGTTTAAATAAATGTGTTTAGTAAGATCATTAAACAAACTGAGATATAACTCCATCGACTTCCCACGAAAGCATAAATCCCTCCTCATAAAATACCACTCAGATTCAACGACTATTTATCGCCAGTTAGAACGCGATTCGAAACTATTCTAACTGGTGTCGGGCATTTTCAAATAGTAAATTACAAATTCTTTTAGAGTGTTTAGATAGAATGTAAGCGTGGATTGAAAATATACACTTAGTGCCGAAAGATAAAAAATACCAAAACAATGTCCTGGAAACCGAGAGAAAAAAGGTAATGTTGATAAAGGTGATAAATCAATTACAGAAATTGATGCACTTTTGAGAAACTTAACGATAACTTAAAGGTTACGGATGTGAGCATTAAGCGTGATTTGGAAAATTTAAACCAAATAGAAAAAGATTTAATTATTTGTTAGTTGATCAGTTTTGAAGATAAATGAAAAATATATAAAAATGTTAGTAATTTAAAAAGTTTAAACATATTCATTAACGACGAATACTCGACCAATACAAAAACTATCAAACGAATTAAGGATCTAAGGTAAAGAAAGGCGTTCAAAAGGAACTAGGAAATTGCCATATAACAGATTATAGACGATAAGACATTTTCGTGTAATACAAAGGTGAAATTATCTAGACAGATGTCAAACAATCTTTTTTAGCAATATAGTTTATAAACAGTATGATGATATAAAGGACAAGGATGACGAATATAAAGCTCTGTACATAATGATATTATAAAATAGAAGTTTTGTATTATGGCAGGTGTAAATAATAAATATTACTTTCCTAATTTATGGAATCTGACATATAAAATGGATGTGTTCTGTCTGATAGAAATGTGGCGTACGTCTCTCGAAATTTATATTCATTAAAAAATATTGATTCAAATTTATCATCAGGTAGACCCAGTGGTGGATTAATTGTCGGACTTAGATTAGACGCAGTTTCTGAAGTTAAATTGATATTTCAGTCACGATTTGTGACTGAACTAGATACTGAAGACTTAAGACTTAGCCAATATTTAGCTAATAGTGTCATATATTCTGCCTAATAATAATAACGATGATGATTTCAAGAATACTTTGTTGCTTATAGAAAACTACTACTACATGGCGCAAATACGTAACTTGATCTTTGTACAGAGTTTAATCGTAGGATGGGACGTTCTGATTATTTGTCACGTTTCACTGCTGTACGACAAATTGCTTTGGGAAGATGGTTCAATTTTTATTCTGCTAAATTCTCTAAAGAATATTCTTAATTATTAATGATGAACAATTGTCAATGGATGTATTTAAAGTGTTTCCAGATTTTAAATTGAGATAAAAGGAGCAATTAATCGTTTTAAAGCTGGTATCTCACCTGGAAGTGATTTCATTAGAATAGAATATTTAAATTGTCTTTCAGAAAAGTTCCTTTTTACAATAGTAAAAGTTTTTAGCTCTTAAAATAAATTATAGTTTTTCGGAAACTTCATTGGATTATTCTTTGATTACTTCAATATATAAAAAGAAGGTGATTATATGACCCCAAAAATTTTAATTCTATATATTAGATTCTTTTAATTGAGAAACTGTTTGTCTTTATTAAATAAAAGATTAGAAGATTGGATTATTACATATGATATTGTGTCAGGAGCAAGCAGGTTTTCGACCCGGCTGATCTTGTCAAAACCAGATACTTTTACTGATTGCAGAAAGAGAGGAAAACTTTATGCTATTTTTGTGGACTTCTAATTGACAGTATCAAAGGCAGATCTAAAGTCTTATAGTCTCTATTAGAAAGAATGAGAATGAATAAACAGTTTTTTGTCTTATCATTGATATATATTCCAAAGCTACTGAAAGAATAAAAATACTAGCCGAAACAACTGATTCATTTGGTATTAACATTGGAGTTTTGCAAGATGAGATTCTAAGCCCATTGCTTTTTAATTTATATGTTAACGGGTTGATAGTTCAACTTACTAAATCTGACTTACCTGGAATTTTTCTCTCTGATCGAGTTGAGTTACACGTCCTAATGTATGATGATGACACTGTAATTCTTGCCAATACTCCACAAATGTTGCAAAAGAAAATTGCAATTTTAGAGGAGTTTGTGTTGTGACTACGGCTTAACTATAAATGTTTCAAAAACTGAAGTGATAGTCTACCTCTCTTCTTGAACATTATCACCCAGAGAAATAGTTTCTTAATAACTAACCTTTACAAGTTGCCTCATATTACATATATCTGGCAGTTTTGTCTTCTGGGCAATTTTTACAGGCCAAAATGGCAGCGGGTTCTATGTGGTCAATTCTTTCTAGAGCAAAAATTTAATTCTGCTCATATTAATATAAAATTTATTTAAAATATAATGAAATCATTGATTGAAATTTTATATATTTATCTGTATTACTTTATGCTGCTTCTGTATGGGCAATTACTTATTATGATATAAAGCAAGGACAATTTCCATTTTATTTTCGAAAACTTTTTATGCTATATAGTAAAATTCCAGCTTACACATTGCGCATTTGGAGTTTGGTGTTTCTAGAATATCGACAATTGTAATAAAAGGAATTATTTTATTTTAAATTAGACTTTTGAAATTTGAGGATAAAAGTTAAGTTTAATTAGCGTATAAGAAACTCTATAAATTAGGTTCAAAAAATGGACAGTTATACATATAATTGGATGATGGCGCTGAGATCCTCTCTATGTTAATCTGTTAGACTGACACAGTTTCTCATTTCTATGGTTGTCCCAAGATCCTCATTTGATCAAAAGTTATCAAACATTAATTATAAAAGTGTGTTGCAAACAGAGCATACAAGAACGGTCTTTGTTGGAAAAGAACAAGGATTTCCAATTATATTATAGTTTTAAATCAACTTGTGTTAGGATTATTTGTTTATAGATATAAATTATTATGTAAAACAATTAATTCTACAGCTGAGATGTGGTCAAAATTATATTTTCACATATAACACTAGACTAATAATAGATCCCGAGAGAATTTACAGTAACTATAGTTCGCAAATGTATGAAACTTGGGAACTTGTTCTTTCACTGAATCAAATTTGAAACAACAGGAAAAAATATTTGATACGATTTAAATCCTGGAAAGATATAATTAATTTATTGTTTTTCAAAAAATTTATTATTACTGTATATTTTATTTTGTGTTATCCTGTGCTAAGCTATTTCATCAATTTGTTAAATATTACTTACTTTTATAGTTAAACCCCCTTGCAAAGAACTAAGGTTCACGCAATAAAGTATTATTATTATTATTAAATTTCTAGATGTTTTCTCAATTCCGATTGAAACTATCCACTTTGACTCGTTTATAATAGCAAAATTTGAATTTAGAGCGAAATTTTGGATATTCAAAAACATTTATTTCCAGTCCAACATAAAAATAAACGAAGACAAAAGTGATAAAACAAGATATCGTCGAATGGTTTGAAACGGCTTCAGTGTATAGCATTTGCGTTAGACGGAGAAGACAGATTTACAGGATCGGTAAGAAACAGAATTAAAAGACACAATTAATTATCAAATATTTTCTCGCATAATGTTAGAAATGATTTCTTTAATTACTGGCAACGATATTAAAACCAGTGGCGTGCCGTCATTAGAAGCGTTGGAAGCGCCGCTTCCCTCGTATTCTCTAAAAAATAAATAAATATTAATTTTAATTATATGAAAATAATCGCACAATATTTTATTATAACCGCATTATGTATCTTATTATAATTTTCTATACTACACGTGGAAAAAAACAAAAAAAAATTGCTATTGTATATTGGAATATTAGTGACGGAGTGTAATCTCCTGTATTTTCAGATTACAAAAAGCAAGATTTGCGCATGCGCTTTACAGAACACCAACCTCACCCGGTGTAGCCGGTGGAAGCCTACGACCTTGGGTGAAAGCTGCACACATATAAGATTACAACTCTGTCAAGGACCGGTTCTGGGCTGTTAGCCGCCTGCCCACTAGATATTTCGATTACGTGAATAA